TTAAAAGTAGACAGGGTGTCTGCCTCACGGACTAAAACTGGTAGTTGGTTCCACAGGAGAGGAGCCTGAAACATGAGAATAAACACAGTGACATAAATCAAAAATTTATATTATTAATTAAGTGTATGTAATGCAAATCTAGAGGAATGAATAACTATTGGTCACAAAACTTGCAAAGTAAAAACCGTATTGAAACACTGAGTTTATATATAGAGAACAGCAGCAATATAGCAGTAAATCCAGTTCAGTAGTTCAGCTCATTGTTTTGAAGCCTTATAAACTCCGCTGGTTTATAGATATTGAACCCCACCTCAAAGTTATTACTGGATCTGGGTCTGATTAAGCCAAAAATATCCACCAAAAGAAACAAAACTTTCCAGTAAATTTGACCTTCCAAGTTTCTCCCAAAAGAAACTGGAATTAACTGTTTCTTCTGGAAGAAACATAAAATAAGAGCAGATCCTGTTAGATTATTAATCTTCTTTTAATCTACATGTTCTCAAAACAAGCAGTCTTACTTGGTGAAATTGTCTGACTGCACTCTCAGATTATTGCATTATTTTTAGCAGAATCTTCTCAAAGAAGATTAATAATCTGACATAATCTGCTCTTATATTGATCTCAAAACAAGAACAGACAGATTTCCTTGGTTAGATCTTAGATTGTACGACTTGTTTAGATGCACAATCTTTGCAGTGTTGATCTAAATGAATATGAAATACTAGATTTCATTTCATTAGTTTCTAGATTATTTTAAGAAATTATTAATTTGAAAAATGAATCTGAGATGATCTGCCAGGGGAATTAGGATTGTTTTCCCATAGAAAAAGATAATCAAATATTATTATTCTTAAATATGATAAGGTTGTTATTTTTTCCATTCTACAAACAAATCTTATTCTTTTGGCAGTCGTGATTTTTCTTATTTTCCTGAAAAAGTCATTACATAATTTTTTAAAGCTGATCAGCCTGAACGAGTGGTTTGAAAAAAAGGGGGAAAAACAGCTTAGACCCAACGAAACATTAATAGACTTAAACACATTTAAATTAGTCAAGTAAAATACGTTTTATGTAAACAACTTATTATGTTAACTTAGTTTTTAGGATTATAAATTTCAGAAGCATTAGATTCCCAAACTGTGTTAAAAGTTTCTGTTCTGTTATTAAACCTCAGGAAGAACTCATTGATAAATCAAACTGACCAATCAGAGGGCAGCGATGGTATAACCAGCAGCGTGTTTCTGACATATACAGATTCTTTCTACATGTTTAGATTTAATCTGAGGACATACTTCCAACTTTCAGTCTGACATCAGCAGCTGCAGCCTAAATTTACGGTAGGACGCATCGCTAAGGTTTGGAGTTGATTGTTTTTGTGTTTGCCCTTGCAGATTGTGGTGAACGCGATTGTAGACACCTTGAAGACGGCGTTCCCTCGCTCCGAACCTCAGAGCCCCACAGAGGACAACGAGAGCGAGGTGGACGGAGGGAAGCTGGGTGTGGACAAGAAGAGCAGGTGGGACAGCTCTTTATTTGGGGGTCAATCTATAAACCACAATGCAAAAAAAAGTACCTTTTTCCTAAAATAAGTGCATTTTTGTCTTGAATTGAGGAGGTAAGTGAGACACTTTGCCAAGGGGAATGAGACGATTTACATTTAAAACAAGAAAAAACAATTGGATGTCTTATTTCAAGTGCATATTATCTAATTATTTCAATTCAATTCAGTTTATTTCTATAGCTCCAATTCACATCATGTCATCTCAGGTCACTTTCCAGTTCACCAGATCATCCAGTCAGATTGATT